TTTTTGTTGTTGTTTTTTTGTGTGGGGTTGGTTTTTTTTTTTTTTTTTTTTTTTCGCCGTGACAATCATATTGCTGCATTTCCTAGCAATTTTTTGCTTGTTATGTTATGTTATTCCGAAAGCTGTTAATAGAATGATGAGTTGATGACCTTAATATTCCGAAAATCTATTTATAGAGGGATGTACTCCTAGGTAATTCCCGGTCTCTCCCGGGATTTACTAATGACCGGCGAATAGTACCACACGTTTATTGTCCGGTCTCTCCCGGTTTTGGAGTAGATATCGTTACAGAACAGAACAAATATTTTACAGATAAATAAGCTTTTTTTCAAAATGAATGTTTGTCACTTAGTTTGGTTACAATAATTAATAAACACAGATCAACTCTCGAATTGATTGATTATTATTATACATAAACATACAATTCGAAAAAAAAACCAACAACACAAATCGCATGTTATATTTTATCTATATGAGATAAAAACAATAAATATGTACAATAATTGAGAAAAAATGTACATTTTTATGGCATTAATATGACACTATCAACTTTAAAACATTTTATATAATTTGTTATTCGTGTTTAGTAAAGATTCCGAAGAATTATTCAAAGTTACAAATCAGATTTTATGAATTATTCAATTGATTGATAATTTAAAAAATGATAAAGAAAAATACAAATGTACATGTATATGGTTTAAGAATAAACAATATTATAAATTGAAAGATTAACCATGATTTACTGACTTTTTCCAGTTAAGTTTTGACTTATAATCGTCGATCATTATGACAATTGAATTCTTAAAATAGTAGTAAACGTAAAAAACTCAGTATTAAAATAGCGCATAAAACACACACAAAAAAAGAAAAGAAAACAATATTCATAAAATCTGTATTTTTTTTATTAAAATAGAAATTACATTTATTGTATAATAAACAATTATGCTCAACATGATCAACATGGTAATATAACAAGTGTCATATTGTTACTTAGTGTGAACAGATACCTTAAGAGGGGGTCCTCGTTAATAGCAATAACATAATAAGGGACAATTACACAAGTATGGTGTTGATCATGCGTTACACATATGGATTATAAATGATTGTATACATGTATATCCTTTGCTATTAATAACCACGATCATAAAGAAATAACAAGTAATATTCTAATTTCTAGCATGCCGATCAAAGTTATAAATAATGAACAATGTCTTTCGTCCGTTCATTCAAAAGTGATATACAATTCTGGTAAAACCCAATGAACCATTGAAAAGTTTATAAGAATATCTTGTCATCATATATCTACTAGTTCATCTGCACCTGCTGTTTGGACGCCCTTTGATGCTTTGCATCAATGCTTTTCTTGTATTCTTTTTATTTACATTTTTTACTCGCACGCGAGCATTAGCGAGGAAGCTAGTTAAAGTAGACACTGTGGTTACTGGCAAACCAATGCTGAACATAATTATAGTGAATCAGTTTCCCTTTCTATATATTTCTTGTCAGATTTGCAGTATGATAATGTAGTATTTGTTGGCGATTTCTAACGTCAGGTTTCTGTTGTGAAAGTTGAAACCTACGGAAAGTTTTAGCGCTCGGACATAACATCGAAATAAGAAGGATAACATTTTTTTGTATCCCATCGAACCTGGTCAATGTATTAATTATTTTTAAAAAGACGTGATACATACTAATGGACAAAATTCAGACAAATACAGAATTATTTAAATTTAACATTTGCTATGAATCAGTTTTAGTCTTCCGGCTGGTGTTCCCGGTCCCCTACGACGCGTCCCGGTATTCGAGATACGCGCTTGATTGAAAAGTTATCTAATTAAATCACTTCATTGCTCATTTTCTCTTAAAAATAATACAAAATACGACAGTATATCATGGTAATTATATAAATCTTTGTGTGTTAGAATTCATAAAGCGGTTACTGATATTTCACTTCAAATTATTATGATTATTTTAAATACATGTAACGGTTTGCTAGTAAAATTGCCTTTTTGACACCAACTTTGTTTTCATTTTTGATTTTAATTTTAATTTAGCTATAATATTGATCAATAAGTAAATAAGAATAATCAATTTTTTATAATTTATTTACCGAGTACATTTCACGCTAATTGTGAGACGAAATGACGTCTGCATGGGCGCCGCCATTTTGAAATGGACGTCACGTCGGGTTACAACTTAATTCAGCGGGAAAAAATATAATTTTAACATTTTGACCATATTACTGACTTTATGAAAACAATGAAAAACATGACTCGAGATATTGACTTCAGGGTTAATATGACATTAATTTAAATGATTTTACTATTATATTTAATAAAAAATGAAATATTCAAATTTGTACGTGGGACAAACTATATGTACTAGTGCATGTGCATGATATTATCTGTAAAATACAACGAATGTAAATAATGTTTTTTTGTTTTTGTTTCTTACCCTTATAGCAAGATTCTTCCTAAAGGAAACAGATTGAATTGGCGTGTCTCTTTTTAACAAGCTATTGGCAATATCTAAATTTTGATCGTATTTAGTATCATAATGCCTTTTCCGGTACTTTTCACTGTTTTTGTAATGTTGTCTATATTGTAGCACCTTCAGCAAGGACTCGTATATAAGCAATAATCTTACAATATATTTATTAAAAACGTTTGGATGTAAATATATAGCCATTAAATAACAATAACTCCACAGCACCATTTACATAGTCAACATAACTCCATAGCACCACTCACGTAGTCCACATAAATCCACAACATTAATAACATAGTCAACATTACTCCACAGCACCACTCACATAGTCAACTATATTACACAGTCAACATTACTCCCATAACACTACTCACACATTTAACATTACTCCAAAGCAACACCCACATAGTCAACATTATTCCACAGCAACATTCACATAGTCAACATTACTCACATAACAACACTCACATAGTCAACATTACTCCACAGCACCACTCACATAGTCAACATTACTACACAGTCAACATTACTCCCATGACACTTCTTGCACAGTCAACATGACTCCACAACACCTCTCAAATAGTCAACAATACTCCACTGCACCAATCACTCAAAAGCACCACTCACATAGTCAACATTACTCACATAACACTACTCACACATTTAACATTACTCCAAAGCAACACCCACATAGTCACATTATTCCACAGCAACATTCTCATAGTCAACATTACTCCACGGCACCACTCACATAGTCAACATTACTCACATAACACTACTAACACTTTCAATATTACTCCACAGTACCACTCACATAGTAACAATACTCAAAAGCCACACTCACACATTCAACATTACTCCACAGTACCACTCGCATAGTCAACATTACTCAAAAGCACTAAAACAGTCATCATTACACACAGAGCACCACTCACATAGTCAACATAACTCACATAACACTACTCACACATTCAACATTACTTAAAAGCAACACTTACATAGTCAACAATACTCCAAAGCAACACTCACATAGTTAACATAACTCCACTGCACTACTCACACAGGCAATATTACTCACAAAACACCACTCACATAGTCAACATTACTCATATAACACTACTCACACATTCTATTTTACTCCTCAGTACCACTCACATAGTCAACATCACTCCATACCACCACTCAGGTAGTCAACATTACTCACACATTCAACATTTATCCACAGGTCCACACACGTACACAGAATTATTCGAAATCGACACTCATATAGTCAACATTACTCCTAAGCACCACTCACATATTCAACCTTACTCCATAGCACCAGACACGTAGTCAACATTTCTCCACAGCTTTACTCACATAGTTAACATAACTCCAAAGTCAACATTACTCACTAAACACTTCTTACGCAGTCAAGATTACTCCAAAGCACCACTCTAATAGTCAGCATTACTTCACAGCACCATAGTCATATAGTCAGCAACACTCACATAATGAACATTACTCATATAATACTACTCAAACAGACAACATTTCTCAACAGCACCACTCACATAGTCATCATTACTTCACAACAACACTCACATAGTCAACATTACCTCACTGCACCACTCACATAGTCAACATTACTCCACAGTATCACTCACATAGTCAACATTACTCACATAGCACAAATATAGCGTTTAGACGCGCTAAATGTAAGAGTTACATTTTAGCCGCGTCAAAGAATAAATGATTGTTTTATCTCAAAATATTTTTGTAAAAAAGAATATAGAATCAACCCGTTCAATAAATTCAGTATTGAACATACACTCATTCTTTGTCCTCTATTTATTCAATTATTAGATTAAAACGTTTCATCTGAGACTATAAGTAATTCAAGGTTTCGTTCAAACACATAAGTCTTAAACATGTCGACAGACGTTATTATTGTAAAGTAACATCGCCTCCTGGTCGACCCTGTTGTTTGTTTCTAAAAGTCATTTCATAAACCACCTCTCCTTTGTATTTCCATGCACTTGACTAACAGACATTCAAATAAGGCTATGTTGGGTATTAAAAGGGAACTTAGGGGTTCAAAATTCGGAAAAAACTTATCTTATGAACCAATACATCATTCATTGAGGATTATTTTGCGGAAGTGTGTTTGTTTTATGTCATCGTGGGGCGTGCATCTAGCTTTAGAACCATCTCTCATAATTCAAGGGAGTTAATATGATCACGTATTTTGAAATTTTCTATCAAGTATTCGGCGATGTTTCAAAACGCACTCAAGGCAACAATTATATACGGTGGCACAAAGGTTACATGTGTGTGTTTTCATTTATCTCGTGCGCACGAGATACTATGTGGTGGCCACGAGTTACTAAGTCGTGGACACAAGATAGTTAAGTCGTGGGAACGAGAAACTATATCGTAGCCACGAGTTACTATATCGTGGCCACGAGTTACTAAGTCGTGGCCACGAGATGGTTGAGTCATGGGAACGAGATAAATAACCAATCAGATTACACTAATTATATGAGTTTTCTTAATTAACTAGACATGTACTTAGTAACTTAGCAACTCGTGGCTGCGACATAGTATCTCGTGGCCACGACATAGTATCTCGTGGCCACGACTTAATTATCTCGTGGCCACGACTTAGCAACTCGTGGCCAAGACATAGTATCTCGTTCCCATGACTTAACTATCTCATGGCCAAGACTTAGTAACTCGTGGCCACGACATCTCGTGCGCACGAGATAAATAAAAACACATACATGTCACCTTTGTGCCACCGTAATAATACCACACATTGGACTTATTTACTAAATGTTTTAATGGCAAAATTGCAGCTTTTTTATCGTAATCATCAGTGGAATAAACATTGTTTCCGTTCTTATATTTACGAACTGATGGTTTTTGGACAATGATGTCGATAATGTAATATTGGTCAATGTTATCGGCATTGTCATTTTGTCTGGTTGGTTCGAAGCACACATATCTTTTTGATGAACCAGTTCAATATCAAAATTGTTATAACGTTGTGAAACAGATACTACTATAGGCGAAAAAGAAATACAAACACATTTTTTCTAGTTATCTAAAATATATTTAACTAGATTTTTTTTCATTTTCAACTTTGATTCGAAAAAAACCCATTTTGAATGGGAAAAAACAACAAATAAAAACCCATATGAAATGGGAAAAAAGAATAGCAAATAAAAACCCATTTGAAATGAAAACACAATGATGTCAAATGGGAAAAAGAAGCCTTTCATTCCCTTTCCAAACTTGATGTCTTGATCTGAAAAAAAAATGGTTTACGTTATGAACTTTATATATTACCTTTTACTAAATATAAACTGCTGTATAGCTGCAAACAGTGTGTATTTAAAAAATATAATAGCCCGAATATTTAAGTTTCCATACGACATAATACGGAACTCCATGTTACAGTTTAGCTACTCCATGTTATAAATGAATGACTCCGTGTTACGTATAAAATGCGCATTATAATATCCAGACATTCATATCATTGTCAGTTTCAAACGCCCACTATAGTTTATGTTTATTTCTTTTTTAAATAGCCAAACTCTTCTAAGTTCAAATTGTCTTTATCTTTAAATGAGAGAATACAAAAAGGAACCTAATCATTAATCAAACAAACCTTTCTCTTTAAGTCTTGTTAATTCTGTTGTTTACATATTCTGGTTTCTCAATCCATTCTTTCTGACATGGTATGTTCTGAAATACATAAATGTTTACCAATTTAAAAAAAGAAAGATATTCGCACATGTTTTACCATTGTTTTATGTGTGTGATAACTTTGAAATACTACAATAGATATGCCGATACGATTTACAGTAAACCTCGGTTATTGCGAACTTGCCGGGACCATGTGTTTTTGAATGCTTTATACAAGGTTTCTTGTAACCAAAATAAAGGATATTGTGCGTAGCATGCGCACCAACTAGACAAAATAAATCGCTTTTTGATTATCTTATAATCATGTCATAGCTTTACACGTAGTTCTCAAATTCAAAATTGAATTAAATAATTGGATATAACAAACATTTTGATTATATCAAATAAACGAATGGAATTATAACTTACATAAAAAGGGGCAGATACTTACCGATGCATTTCTAAACTTGTATGTACGGCATGTTTGTTTGTATACTTGTGTGGCAAGTTTGTTTACTTCTGTATCACTGTTGGGAAAAAACACTTTTTTAAATACTGAATATTGTGTTAATTTCTTGCAGTCAAAGAATTACAAAAATGTGGTCAGAATTATTTTTTTAACAATGTTCTAAAGATTTTAACATGGTAAAATTACATGTATCATAGAAATATCCAACAATTTATTCTTTTCCAAAAATTGTATTATCAAGAAAATAACGTACCTCAGATTTTGTCTGTTTTTTTGTTCATCAAAGTTCTGATTGTATCAGTAAGCATCTCAACTACATCAAGTTCAAGGTCGTTTGACATCTGTAAAATAGATATGTTACAATACAATTTACAAACTGTAATTTACAAAGCAAGTACAATTAAGTGAAAGTCTATCCTTTAAAATAAGATATAAAACCGCTATGACAGTAGACCACACATTGGAGATAATAATAATTATGATATTGAAAATAATATTGAAAATAATAATAATAATAAATAATAATAATAATATGGCCAGTAGTTTGGACGGCTTATAATTTATTCATATGACTTTAAACGTAGAAAAAAAACACACAAAAAGTTCTAAATAATATTGATGATAATAATAATAAATAATATTTATAATATTTTTAATATGAAGTATGTACAAATATAAACATGGTGTAAGTTGACGCGAAAGTTTCGAAAACACGCACTTGAATTATACTACCAATGTAATGTACCTTTAATATTATTATATAAAAACTGTATGATATGCGATAACCTACCTTTTGAATTTTCTCTCGCAAACTTATCTCAGCTAAGAACTTTTTCTCAAAAGCAATATGGTCTTTCTCGTGCTTGACCATCCATTTATTATGTACCAATTCCATATCCTGTAAAAAATAAACCAACATTATGGTCTAATAATGTAAATAAAACTTATAATTCGTGAACTGTATTTTTCAAGATGCCATTATATGAATGCAAACAAGTATGTATTAACACAGAATTTGTACAAATTGATGTATCTATCATTTATTGTACATTGTTTATCCATTTACGTATAGCAACTTATACATAGATATCTTAATCTGCATGTATATTTGTGATTTTTTTCAATATAAGGTATTCATCAAAAATGAAAATGTATCATTGTAAGTAAATGAAAACAGTTCACAGCTTTAACAACAACAACAACAGCAACAAAAATAATAACAACAACAAACAAACAAAAACTCTTGCACAACTGTTTTGACTGGGAATTTCTGTTCAAGAATTGTTAAAAGATTTTATCTTTATAGTCAGTAATATGGGCAATAAAAGCAGTCAAAAGCCCCATACCTCAATTGCTGCCTCTCTTACTTTAGCCTCGTTCTGGTTGTAACGTAACGAAGATCTCTGTGTCTCTAAAATCAACTCATACTTTTGCAGTTTTGCCTTTGACTTCCAACAATTCTGAAAATCAAGGATATTTTATATAAATCTAAGAATCTGGAAAGAAAGTGATCCCTCGGAAGCATTAATCACAACAAAATTACATAAGAATTGCAGACTCGGTTTGATTGAGTCTGTACATGAATACTGAATAAGTGCAACATCCCTCACGCCCCCTAGCACCGGTTTGAGCGGTACTCAATTCTTAACACGTAACACGTAATAGTGCCGGTATCAATGATCCCGAAGGACCAGAAAAATATAACAACACTGAAGTGAAGTACGGGGCAACTTTTTACAGCTGCCACACAGCACTTGACACCTGCTGTTGTGAAGTATAAAAATCTGGAAAGAAAGTGATCCCTCGGAAGCATTAATCACAACAAAATTACATAAGAATTGCAGACTCGGTTTGATTGAGTCTGTACATGAGGAATACTGAATAAGTGCAACATCCCTCACGCCCCTTAGCACCGGCTTGAGCGGTACTCAATTCTTAACACGTAACACGTAATAGTGCTGGTATCAATGAACATTAGTGATTTGTAAAATGATGCATTAATCAATTATATTAAAATACAATACCATGCAACAGAATACAATTAAAACTGATATTTTGTTCATAGCTTTGCAAATAAAAAATCAATTAATTTACAAACTATGGTATATTAACATGATTATACTGATTTCTAAATTAACTATTCAAATATGATATGAATGGTATAATCACGTTGCAATGTTTTGTTTTTTTAGAGCGTTCATTAGTTAAGATAAAACTTACCATTCTAGCTTCTCTCAATGCAAGCAGGGCTGTTTCATGTTTCTTAATGAGGTGTACCAGCGTTCTTTTGCGTTCTTTTAAAACTAGGTGTGTCTCAGAGGAAAACCTATATTGGCAGACAAAAATGTTAATATAAAGTCAATAAGAAGTACTAAAATGTATCACTTACTGCAAGTTATAGTATAAACGTAATTCAATTTGTATCATTTATTGTGACCACAAACACCTCAGACATTTTAACAACGATCGTTTATTGCAGCTATACAATTTAATTTTTATCATATTTTGCGAGCACATGAAAAATTATGTTGTTTTTATACCCACTGAAAAACAGGTTATTATTAATACATATAATTTTACATTGTATTTTCATTGCATTTTTATATTTGTTGCACTGTTTTGTATTTTGGACCGAATGCCTATGTCACAAAGAATAAACTTTATGTTATGTTGTAAAATCTTACAGTGTATCAAAATCTTCATCAGTACTAATGATATCATAATCTTTGTCTAGAATATTTCAGAACAGAGTTTCTCAATGTTTTGCAGGAAAGTGGTTAGTCTGTTTTCTAGAGAAAAAAGAGACAGATAGAAAGAAAAGATAGAAACAAAATAAAAAGAAGTAAGAAAGAACTTAGAAAGAAGTATACAAAAGAAGCCTTAGTAGAAACGATGAACGCCGAAATAATATATATCTGTAGACAAAAGCAAATTGAAATGACGGGTGTTGAAAATAAGCACAGTGTATTTAACTTTAAGGCCGTTCGTGGGTTCACTTCACAACACAGAAGACATTTTCTTGTTTTAATAATCCGCAGTTCATAATGGTTTGATTACTGATTTAAAAAGAAAAATAAAAAAAAAATGGAGAAGTTTTTCTAACAAGACGAAAATGATAAGATAAAACTAAACGTAAAAGAACTCAAACTAAACGAAAAGGAACGACAAACAAGACATGTTTAATGATAAAGGTGAACTATTCTAAGCACTTAAAATATTCTTCATTTAAGAAAAATCACAAACCTTGCTTTACTTTCACTGCCTGGAAAATCGGAACTGTAATGGGAACGTATCCGGTAAATACAGATAAACTGTCAAGACTGGAAAATCTGTAATAAATAAATAAATAAATGAAAAAAGGATGACTAATGAATGAAATAAATTAAAACCTAATCAATAGATACATAGATATTTGTGGCTTGATGATATGATTGCACAGGAATTGTTAGTTTGCTTATCTTAAGCCAGATCTATTTGCACTTGAGATTTCTTTCTTTCTTTTCTTACGAACCTATGGTGAAATAATTGAAATTTCACTTACATTCCTCCATCTTGGGTCAGCATAGATATTTTCGGTATAAAAACTTCCTCCATAACTGTCGATAATCATTAAATATCGCTGAAAACTGCTAAGTGAATAAATTCGCTTTGCTATTGCTGTGGCGTCAATGACAATGTCGCGTAGAAACGACGTCAGCGTCATGTGGAAATCACGACGTCAAATCTCGTTTAACGTGATGACGTTTTTTTTTTTTTTTTTTTTTTTACTGTTTTATGCATCCAATTCCGCTTTCTATATTTAAAAGATGGTTTATAATGTGATGAAACATCGATTTTCAAAAAAATGATTTCGTCTGATGCGGCATTAAAGTAGACGTCACAGTATAATACGTGAAGGCTTAACACCTAGAGCATGTGCATGATATGATCTGTGAAAAACAACGAATGCTAATATGATTTTGATTTTGTTTTTTTACCATTATTTCAGCTATACGCAAGATTTTTTTTCTTAAAGGAAACAGGTTGAATTGGCGTGAATGCTTTTAACAAGCTATTGGCAATATTTAAATTTTGATTGTATTTAGTATTATAATGCTATTTCCGGTATTTTTCATTGTTTGGTGTAATGTTGTCTATATTGTAACCCCTCCGGCAAGGACTGGTATAAAACGTTTAAACGTTTAGGCACTTGATTACAATTACTCCAAAGCACCACTCACATAGTCAACATTACTCCATAGCACCACTCACGTAGTCAACATTAATCCACAACATCAATAACATACTAGTAGTTAACATTGTTTCACTGCACCACTTATATAGTCAACATTACTCACATAACGGTACTCACATAGTCAACATTACTCACATAACAACACTCACATAGTCAACATTACTCCACAGCACCACTCAAATAGTCAACATTACTCCACTACATCACTCACTTAAAAAGAACCACTCACATAGTCAACATTACTCACATAACAACACTCAAACATTCAACATTACTCAAAAGCACCACCTACATATTCAACATTATTCCACAGAAACACTCACATAGTCAACATCACTCCTCTGCACCACTCACAAAGGCAACATTACTCACGGATCACCACTAACATAGTCAACATTACTCACATAACACTACTCACACTTTCAATATTACTTCACAGTACCACTCACATAGAAACAATACTCAAAAGCAACACTCGCATAGTCAACATTACTCCATAGCACCACTACATAGTCAACATTGCTCCATAGCACCCCTCACATTGTCAACATTACTCACATAACACTACCCACACATTCAACATTACTCCACAGTACCACCCACATAGTCAACATTACTCAAAAGCACTCACAAAGTCAACATTACTCCAATGCACCACTCACACAGTCAAAAAATTACCACACAGAGCACCACTCATATAGTCAAGATTACTCACATTACACTTCTAACACATTTAACATTACTCAAAAGCAACACTCACATAGTCAATAATACTCAAAAGCAACACTCACATAGTAAACATAACTCCACTGCACACTACTCACACAGTCAATATTACTCACTGGCAGTCACATAGTCAACATTTCTAAACAGTACCACTCACATAGTCAAGATTACTCGAAAGCTACACTCAAATAGACAACATTACTCCGAAGCACCACTCACATAGTCAAACATTACTCCATAGAAACACGCACGTAGTCAACATTACTCCACAGCATTACTCACATAGCTAACATCATTTTTCTGCACCACTTACATAATCAACATAACTCCAAAGTCAACATTACTCACATAACGCTACTCACAAAGTCATCATTCCTCCAAAGCACCACTCACATAGTCGGCATTACTTCACAGCACTATATTCATATAGTCAACACTACTCAAATATTCAACATTACTCATATAATATTACTCATTCAGTCAACATAACTCCACTGCACCACTCACATAGTCAACATTTCTCAACAAGCAACACCTCACATAGTCACAGTTTTCAACAGGCCCTTACAACTCACATAGTCAACATTACTCCCACAGGGTACACTCACAATAGTCAATCATTACTCCACATCACCCCCTACATGCAACATTTCTTAACAGGCAAACTCACATAGGTCAACATTACAAACCACTGCAAAACACTCACATATCAACATAACAACATAGCACTGTAGGAGCACCATTTGTCTCGGGAGCACTTTGTCTCACGAAGTTGACCGAATGTGTTGTAAACATTCATAATTTTCGACAATTGGAAATGAGACAGATTGTGGTTTCAGACACACCAAATAGAATGGGACCCGCAAGCCACATTTGTCTCAACTTTTTTCAATAAAATTTTTAAAAGGTTAATTAATTATCCGGCCCATCTGTATACCAGCTTTTCCACGCCATTGTTTGATGTGTTTTT